ACAGTCCGGTTCATAACCATTTCTCGTGACATGTATGACGTCACAAGATGGCGGCCAAAGGCCTCTTTGGAGCCCTATTCTATTTGGATCCTTTTTGAGTAAAAACGGTCCCTCCCCATAATTCTTTGCGCAGTAAAGCATTGCTATGCAAATGACGACGCCATTGATGTGTAGAACGTATGTCTTGACTGAGAATTCGAATATTTATACTGCTTTTTAGACTTTCTACTGTGTTGTTTCGTCGAAGTTTACTCCAAAACAACGGAAATTTTAGTACCTTCCCCTACTGGGGTAATATTTCTTCCTACCAGAATCTGTTCTATAATAGTTTGGCTCTGATTTGATGTCAAGTTTGCTTGGGTGCAAGACGAAATGGCTGAGTGCAAGCGCTTTGATCGAAGCTGCGTGTATATGTAGGTGATGGAGGGTCATAAGCGGTACCTGAACAACCGGTGTCGTCTTTGTAGCGTATCTCTTGGAGGGAGTCATTCCAGTAACAAGAGAAGAAAGGATCGAAAGAAGGCCTGTAAGACTTTGTTTACCAAAGAATTTGACGAGTGTTGGAACTTGGACATTAACTCCGAAAGCAAAGAAGTATTCCCCGCTTTCATCTGCAGTTCGTGTAGACGGTTTTTATACCGCGTCAAAAATGGCGAAACTCGAATGGCCAGCAAATTTAAGGTCGCTCAATGGACACCGCATTCGAACGATGAGTGTGTGTGCATGCGGTCAGGATCCGGAATGGTAAAAAGTAACCTTGGCGAGGAAATAACCCGTGGAAGCGACAGTGATACGGATAGTGCCGAAGAGACACGTGAAGAACTTCAAAAGCCCGCGCTAGGCATTGTTTTGAATAGCTTGCCATGGCTAACACAAGACGAAGCAAAAAAAACGGCAAAAGAGCTCGCAAACAGATTTGACTTCATTTTCATTCCTCGTGGCGATACTACAGGTATGACAAACTCTGTTTGTGAACTGTCTAGTGAGRACAGAAAAAATATCACCGAAGCGATCTTCAACTGTGAGAAAAAAGCGGTCAGGGAAGATGCTTCACAGTGTAGTCAAACCTACAGGAATCTGGACAGCCTCGTAAACCTTGAATCTGGTACTTGGTCAGAGGAGAGAAATTCAGTACTTAATAGTGCCCTGAATGGACTGACAAGCAATGCTAAAGAAACAAATCTACTAGAGGCAAAGAAAGCTGTTGCAATTGACCAGTTATATTCTCTGGCATCACCAGGTTTTATTAGTCCRCTGGCATTCGCATGTAATTTGCTAATCTATTCTGTTGCAAGAAGTAAACTTTCCTGCAACATATTTGGTAAGCTTTTCCCAAGTGGATCATTTGCTACTGTTAAATCATGGCTCAATAACTTAACACCAAAGATCCCAGAGTTTCCTGAGGGAGATGTCCTCACATCCATTGATAATGACCAAGTTTTAATTAAGAAGTGGACTGTGAGAAAGGRCAATCGTGCACAGATCAGCATATTGACTAGTGTATGCACTGCTGTAACCAACAGCAAAGGGAAATTGCAGTATGATCAGCAATTAGCTCCAGGGTATGTATCTAAAAATGTAACCTTAGGCTAGTTGTGTCTTTTTGTATTTTCTATTTGTCTACTTTTTTATTATATGGATATACTGCTGGTGTTTTACACACACAAAAGCATTCAATGAAAAAGTAATTTAATAAATGTCCTGGATGTATGTTTGCATCCTTAGTTTGTCCATATAATAAAAAGAACATGTTGGCATGAAGAAAAAAGTCCTAATTTGTTTAAAGTTGWAATCTATGCATTTTTCGGTTTYAGACAATGGAATGACAGGCGTGATACTGCAAAGAGAGATGAAAATGAAATGAAGAAGCTACTATATGACTGTTCTTACAAACCAAATCAACAGAACCTTTTAAGAGGAGAGGTGAGACAAATAAAATATTTTAAATTTAGTAATTGTTAATATCATATGACCTACATGTACATCATGTATATTTTGCCTAGCTTGCTCTTTTAATCTAACCTAACCCTGGTTTGTACAAACTTTTACTCACCTGCTCAAAAACCCTAACCCTATTAATATCAAGTTTGTTTCATACGTACATAAAGGGTTAACAATCAAGTAGTAATACRTTTGATATAGAGATATGTGCGACAGTGCTGTAGTGTCTCAAGTCTAAAAACATCACTATAGTCCGGCCGATGACATACTGGCAAATGCAGTTCTTTTTGGAGCAAATAGAATGGAATATTTTTTTAAACCATATAAAATTGCATAAACAAGACAGTATGGCTTCAAGAAAGTACCAAATGGTAAAACCTGAGGGCATAATTCTTGCAATCTTGCATTGCTCAATAGTAAAGAAATAATAGCACATATTCAACCATATACATGTATGTACAGTTGACATTAATAATGTCTATAAAATTAATGTCTTTTTCAGAACACCAAATTGATWCAGGGAATACTAGAGCAAGTTGTAAGAGAGCACACAGAGAAGGAAGGAGTAGTCATGGATGATATAGATGTCAAAGTAAATGAAATCAGATCTAAGGAGGGGATGCGCATCTGTCCTGTTTGTCAAACAATGATGGAAAAAAGAAAAAGAAAGTGTACAAACCCAGATTGTGGAGTTAATCTTAAAATTGCTGAGAAACAGCTTGATGGCAGTGACATTTTGGGAACTGCTCTTGTTACTCCTGCTAGGCAGTACACCCATAAAATCAGAGAATGTCAACTCGGTTTCACAGTGGATGAAATTGGCAATAGAGCTACTGTATATGTGAAAGAGGAGTCTGTCAACTCTTTTGATGAGTGGGCAGATGTCAAAAGCAACCATCCAGACAGTCGCATCCCAGTAACAGCTTTCGACCCTGTGTTCGTCAACCCTAATTCCTTTGAATCTGTTAAAGTTGTGTTGAGAAGAGTTGGTTCAGCCGCACGAGTGAAGAGATACCACCCTGAGGATCCCAATGCTAGAGAATGGCTCTCAGTAACTATGGATGGGCTTCCTTACTTACTCTGTAGAGAGGTTGTGGAATCTGTGCGTATCTGTTCTTCGTGTAGTAAAGAGGTCCTCTTGTCGTGTGGTAAAGAGGACCTTATGAATGCCTGTGAAATGCATACCATTGAAGAACACATTGGGCAGCAAGTTAACTACATCAAGGAATTTGATTGGGCCCTTATAAGAATCGGAAAGHTGCACATGGAGATGAACATGGCTAGAACATTTATTGACATTCATTGGAACATTTACTTTTCATCGTTAGCACATGAGCTTGGATTTGTTTCAGAGGCAGCACAGAAGTTTGCAAGAAAGGGATCTGATCATCACAAGACAATGTCACTTATCAAAGTGGCTCACATTGGCTTGTGGTATGAGCTCCTTGTTCCTTATGTAAAGGAGAGACTCAGATCGCGAGGTGTAATTTCCGTCAA